GAAGGGTGCCTTCTCCCAACAGCAATTTTGAGATCTCTCCATAAGTGTTCAGTTGGATTTAGATCTGGACTCCTTGCTGGCCACTTCAGAACTCTCCAGCGCTTTGTCTTCAACCATTTCTGGGTGCTTTTAGAGGTATGTTTGGGGTCATTGTCCTGCTGGAACATCCATGACCTTTCTGACACTGGGCCCTACATTGCACCCCAAAATCTTTTGGTAGTCTTCAGATTTAATTATGCCTTGCACACAGTCAAGGCACCCAGTGCCAGAGGCAGCAAAACATCCCCAAAACATCTTAGAACCTCCACCATGTTTGACTGTAGGTACTGTGTTCTTTTCTTCGTAGGCCTCATTACATTTTCTGTAAACAGTAGAATGACAAGCTTTACCAAAAAGCTCTACCTTGGTCTCATCTTTCCGCAAGATGTTCTCCCAGAAGGATTTTGGCTTCCTCAGGTACATTTTGGCAAACTCCAGTCTGGCTTTTTTATGTTTCTGTGTCAGCAGTGGGGTCCTCCTGGGTCTCCTGCCATAGCGTTTCATTTCGTTCAGATGTCGATGAATAGTTCGAGCTGACATTGTTGCACCCGGAGTCTGCAGAACAGCTTGAATTTGTTTAGAAGTTGATTGTGGCTGTTTATCCACCATTTGGACTTTGTGTCTTTTATAATTTTTTCTCTTCCATCCACGTCTAGGGAGATTAGCTACAGTGCCATGTGTTGTGAACTTCTTGATTATGTTGCACACAGTGGACAAAGGAACATGAAGATCCCTGGATATGGACTTGCAGCCTTGAGATTGTTGATATTTTTCCACAATTTTTGTTCTCAAATCCTCAGACAATTCTCTGCTCTTCTTTCTGTTCTCCATGCTTAGTGTGGCACACACAGACACACAACAGAAAGGTTGAGTCAACTTTTCTCCATTTTAACTGGCTTCAGGCGTGATTACTATATTGCCAGCACCTGTTTCTTGCCACAGGTGAGTTCAAACAAGCATCACGTGCTTGAAATAAAACGATTTACCCACAATTTTGAAAAGGTGCCAATAATTCTTTACGGCCCATTTTTGGAGTTCTGTGTGAAGTGATGTCAAATTTGGCTTTTTTTTCTCTGTTTTTTTGATGATCCAATGCATATAAAGGAAATAAGCATGTGTATACCAAAACATTTGTAATTGTAATTTTCTGGGAGAAATGCTACATTTTCTGGAAAAATTCTAGGGGTACTGATAACTTCGGCCATGACTTTATCTGTCTGCAGAGCTGCAGTGTGGCAATGGCAATCTCATTCCAGTGCCATTTAACGCATGTGATGTCTCTTTTTTGGTTTATCGTAGCTATGCAACATTTCAATCATTTCCAATAAATTTGTGATATAAAACTGAAATAAACCAGCCCTAATGTCAACTGTTACGTTCGGTGGACAGGTGAACGAGGAAGTAGGCGAGAGAGCCGTAACTTCAGAAATCCGGGGTTTAATCGGGGTGTTCTGTCGATATATGCTGCCTTGTCGAAAAATGCTACCGTAGTGCTAATCGATAGCCCTAACCCTAACTCTTACCCTAACCCCCCAAAACCCCTAAAACCCTTACCTTAACCCTAACCCTAACCCCTAAAACCTAACCCTAATCCCAAGACGGTGGAACTGCACATGCGCAGAAAGGCTCGATAGCACGTCTCGATGGGTAGTATTTTTCGACAGAACAGGGGCAGACAGGCGACGAACATTAAACAATACAATGACTAATCTGGGAAGACTAACTCAGACGCGGACTAAATACACAGGACAAGCCAAGAGGAACAGGAAACAGGTGATGACAACTGGGAATTAACACGAGGTCACAAGGTGGGCGTGGCACACACGAGGATCGGACGAGCTGGGCGTAACATCAACCTTGTTTTTCATTAGGATCCAATGGCCAGGTGCTATTGTCATAGCTAGTTTGGTGCACCATGAAAATATGTATATAGAAATTTGTATGCTGGGCCATTTTGTATTTGTATTATTCATGACAGATAATAACACATAATCAATATTTGGTAACATTTTACTTGTGTGAGGCACAGATAACAGTAACTGAGTTACTACTTAAGAACAAATCATGAACTGATATAGTTCCTGCATGAAATACATGAACCGTCATGATTGATTAATGAACAAACATGGGATCAGTACATAACTAATACTTATTTACTGCTTTATTAATGCATTAAGTCAAAGTGTACTACATTATTTGTGCCCCCTCAAGTAAAGTGTTACCCAATATTTATTAATAATGTGCCTTTTTACTCATTACTTTTAGTTTGTAAAGTTAATTGATGTTACTGATGTGTGAGAACAGTACTAAATAAGCACAGTTTGGGGCTGGGCCATATATCGAAAAAATAATATATTGGTATTATTGTAGATGCTGGAGAACTAGGGGTGTCCAGGGGTTTATTACAGGGCAGTCCAATCGTTTGGGGTACAGAGACCCCGGAGAGCTGCCAGGGAGGTGAAGGTGGCGGATATGGGAGAGGACCTTAGCATACTTGCTTGGGTGTCGGAGATGGAGGCGCTGATCCATACAGTGTCCTTGCAGCCTACCCGTCGGGCTATTTTTGCACCCTAGAGTGTGTTGGGGATGTGGCCAATCAGGCCACCTGGTTCTCCAATGCCCTTGGCTGCACAGCGGTCAGGGAAACAGGTCAGAGTCTGCAAAGAGGGGACTGTCCTGGGCCCAGGCTCTATTCTCCAACGCAAGACATAGGCACCTGCTGGCATCCGGCACCGGGTGTTAGGGTGGGACTGTGTGTCATCAGAGCCAGTGGTTATGGTGGGACGGACTGGTGTTGAGGACTTCTGCCACATTCCAGTCTTGGATGCAGGGTGCATTGTTAGGGAACCAGGCCAAGCAATTGGGGGAGATGGTGGAGTGGGGGCAACAGCAAGAAGGGGACAAGGACCTGCAGCCTCAGTGGTTCTGAGATTGCCATTTTGTGTTGTCTGCAATGGACTATTTTATAAAATGGCCAAAGGCTTATGCATTGCCTGATCAGGAAGCAGAGACCATAGCAGACACACTGCTGGAGGGGATGTTCAGCTGGTATTGGAGTCCCAGAGTCCATACACAGTGATAAGGGTTGCAATTTTGAGCCACGAGTGTTCACCACTATGTGCGAGAGGCTTGGCATTCGCATGACTTGCACTACCCCATTGCATCCACAGAGAAATGGGTTAGTGGGTTAGCTGGAGAGAATGGGGGATGTAATCTACCGGGTTCAACTGCCCCTGCCGGAATGGAAGGTAGCTTTACATAGGGACAGATTGGCTCCCTATAGGGGGAGCTCGTCTCTGTCCATTCCTCTGTCTAACCCTCCAGCTACTTCCACAGACACTGTGGATGGGGGTGTTGATCCTGCCATTCCTGAGAGTCCAGTAACGGGAGGCTCTGTAGCCCCAGGTTCACCTAAATTGGCAGATAGATTGCAACAGGTGTCCAGTCTACCTCTCCACCTAGATCACCAGGACCCTTCCGACTGCTCCACTCCAAAGACTAACAGTGGCCCGCGGTGATCTCAAAGGTGGAGAAGACCACCCAGGAGGCTGCAGGACTTTGTGTGTTCCCTTCGGGGTGAGGAGCTCTATGGGGAAGAGGTATTGTAGTGGCTGAAGGACTAGGGGTGTCCAGGGGTTTATTAAAGGGCAGTCCTCACCGCCTTTTCAGCCAGTTTCTGGGGGATTCAGAAAAAGTGGGAATGGGGGTACCTGCGGAGTAGGCTAAAGGATAAGTGACGGTCTCCACACGACCTATATATACTGGGAAGGAATTAGGTCGTGGAACATTAACTGTCATTGTTTGATGTACTTCAGTTTTGTTGGAGTTTGGTGTGGGCTCCAGCCATACAGGGTCAATCAAAGTTATTTTTTTGTGGTATGTCCTGTCACATGTTCATTACATTATGAACATCATCATCAGTTTGAATATTGCATGTATGACATTGCTCATATATTGGCAACGATACTCAAATGGTAAAATGCATGGCGACACAGAAACAACCAGCATGGCATATCTGCATGGTACAAGCATGCGTGTTCACAGGTTCACACGACATGCGTTCAGTGCCACTAGGCTTAATAATATACTGCAGACTCTAGGACACTCCCAGGCCCCTTTCGGTTGGGTTGAAGTATGCGCAGCGAACAAAGAAACTTTCTTAATTTCATGAGTTTCTAAAGCCTAGTTTATCGTTTACAGTGTTTGAAAAAAATGTCTTACGCATATATTTGCGCACTATGTTTCACTATTGCCAATCTATTATAAATCTAAATATTTAATGTATTAATTTTTATTGTTTTTACTGTTTAAAGTTTTACCGTTTATGCGTAAAAATTCACACAACAAAAATGCAAACAGCATTTTTATTGATATCATTTATCTACGATTACAAAGTACTGCCTATACATGTATCATTTTTAAAGTATGACGCATCCTGGATATTTAGTTATAACTTTCTCAATGATACAATGTTTTGGAAACATCTATCACATTATGTGTTGTATTTCATATATCTATAATGAATAACACATTTACATCAGGACTGAAATAGTACTTTAGTTTATGTTACAAGTTGCACATTTTATTCTTTTTTGCACATGCAAGGTCCAGTGGTGGGCAGTGGTGACTTAATGGTTAGGGAAGCACACTTGTAATTGAAAGATTGCAGGTTTGAATCCCCGACCAGCAGGGCACCACTGAGGTACCCTAAGCAACGTACGGCCCCCATGTACTGTTCCCTGGGTGCTGAATTAGCTGCCCCCTATGTCACATATGGGTTAAATGCAGAGAACACATTTTGTTGTTGTGCACTGTGTGCTGTGGTGTGTCAAAAATGACAACCAATCACTAAAAATACAAAAAAAAAAAAAATAATACAAAGACTGGAAAAGGCTTTAAAGTGGTGAATTGTTCTGCTCATGCGTAATTCGGAAGGGGCCTGCGAGTGGTCTCTGCAGTCAGACACTACTCACTGGGCTGAAACCTCTGCTCTGCAGTCAGACCCTTCTTGAGTTCACCGTTCTGTTTTGCGCCGCTGCGGCACCAATCGAAATTTGCTTGCAGTCGCCGAAAGAGGGCGCCGCCTCGCCCCATACTGTGCCCACGGCATTACGTAGTGCTTTTAAGCCCAGTGTTTTAGACGCCACCCTTTCTCTCGTCGCAAGGAGATCCTATATAAACAAAATCAGTGTCTCTAACATCGGGGGTCAGAGTGGTGTTCTGCGTTTTTGCAGAAGTGAAAGCGGAGAAGGAGAGGCCGCGCGCGGCATGTAGGCGGAGACGGCCGGACGCGCAAGGCTTACGGCCCGGGGTAAGCTCGGCATCGGTGCGATCGCCGGGCGAACTGGCCGCGACCTCCCCCCCCCCCCATGATATGCACTCGAATGATGGCGACGCTGGCGGAGCATGACCTAGCATTGGCCGAGGCGGAGGGTAATAAGGAGAAGGAGCAGGTTTTCGGGGTGCTCAGGCTACAGGAGGAGAAACCGGCCGACAAATGCGCCGCCGCCACCGTTGCATCCAAAGCGCCGGACGGTCGCTGGCAGGCGCCCATATTCGCCCTGGCCAGGAAGGCGTCGGAGACATTCTCCGGGAGCATGCACGTCCTTCCCAAGGTGGTGGAGCAGAAGACATCCGCTTTGGCGGATGAGTGGGGTGCAAAGGGTAAGCCGGTATCTCTGAATGTGTGCTGTCCTTGTCATTGGAAATATTATTATTGCGTGTTATTGTTATAATCGATAACGGGGGCGCCGGTGAGCTGCGAATTACGCGGCTGGTAGCAGCTGACTTCCGGACGCGGCAGCACCGCAGTGCAGCCTTTGCTCCCGACGCCAGCAAGCTTTAGGTAACAGTACTGGAAGTTCCCCTTTCGTTTTAATGTTTTTTTTTCCCCACGAACGGGGAAACACCTTTAATCAGTGCATCCGCATTCAGTGTGTTTTAGCTGTCCCCCACCACCACGGTACACCCCCACATCCTTGCGCGGCCATGTCTACATCTCCAGCATTTAATGTAAAATGTAGACATTGAAAAGCACCTGAACCCTGCCGCGCGCTCGGCAGATGGAGCAGGGTGCCCTGACTGGCCTTGCGCACCACCCGCAGTCTTGATCCTAGCACCACCGCATCCCATAATAATCCATAGACAAGCAGAATTTCAGGCTAAATATTCGATATTTATCTGTAAATGTATAATGTTTGTGTGCAAGACCCTGAGCTTTCCTAAAATAAATACCTTACTATACTCAGGTGTGTTTGGAGATTTATTTTAGATTATTAATAGAGCTGAAGTCTTCGTTCCTCGTCAGAAAGCTTGTTTCCTTTTTCCAACGTGCTTCACAAGACCGGGCAAATTCTGTTATTCAGATTCCTGGTACAGCGTCGTAAACCTGTCTTGCAGGTCGCTCCCTGCCATTTCTGTAATGTCCTACTGGAAATCAGATGGAGTCTTTTCATAGGTTCCTGAGTGTCAGTCAGTCAGCAATATTGCCGTGATGGAAGTTGCTGAAACTTAATTCAGATCATAATTTTTGTAAATGGGCATATACATGTTTTCTGAGTGTCTTTTGTGTGTGATTTTGCTGTTTGTAATTTTGCAGTGTATGTTTGTATGAGTCAGCTTTTTTCCATCTGACAAGTAAACCTTGAGGGGCATGGATTTGAGGTGCCATAATAAAAACGCTTTTACTAGAGTTTGTGAATGTCATCATGTTTAAGCATAATAATCATGGGTAACACCTATTTTTCTGTGGATTGGGTGTTAATGTCCATTCCTGGACCTGAGAAAGTTCAGATCTCAGAAATGTATCGTGCTGTCATTAGTGTCCTCTGTGGCAGCTGGTGAATATGCTTGATGGGCATTAGTTGTGTAATATTTTTTTGGTACATCTAAATATTAAGGGACTGTATAATATCCCCCCTCTCCCCGAGAACATTTGTTGCTGCCCTGTACCTCAACTTCTTCCCCCTTCAGTGTTTACACCCCCAGCTGGCTCTCCCACTCTCTCCTGTCCCTTATAAACATCTCCACAGTAACAGCTAAAGTGACACTCCAGGGAGTTGCTGTGGCTGATTTCAGAGCCTCACTTTCTCTCAGGTGCCATATAAATTGTGTCCTCCCCTCCAACAAGGAGATGACAATATTAAATAAGCACCTTATTGTTATGTCTGTATTTAATCTCATTTTGTGTTTGTCTAACACTGGCTCCAGCTTGAGACAAAGGTCAGTAGATAAAGCCGGTCTCTGCTGAGTTGTGCATGGTAATCTCTCTAACCTTCTACATGTGTGTCTAATCCATAAACTTACTTGAATAATCATTAAACCATTACTGTGGGTTACATGTAGAGTAAAATGGCCGATAAGGAAAGCACACACATATTGTATGCAATATATGTGTACTTTGTTCAAGGACCACAGAAAATGTGTATTATATTAACATAATTTCTTGAGAAATGTTTGGATAGTAAATCAATCTCTGTTCAGGATGAAATTGACAGTGTAATAATGACCCTTGTGTGTCTCTGTGATCACATGATTCTCTGGCACCTTCTTGCAATGGCGTCTGACATCTGAGTGAAACTAGCACCCCTCTTAGGGGGGGCAGTGAGGGCAAAAACCTCAGGGGGGCTGGGGGGATGTGGTGTGAGCTGTCATTTGAGTCCTGGTTTCCCTGCCCCCCGCAGTGATGAGGGACCCCATGGCCATGGAGAGAGCCAACCTGCTGAACATGGCAAAATTGAGCATCAAGGGCCTCATCGAATCAGCCCTTAGCTTCGGACGCACGCTTGACTCTGACTACCCGCCCCTGCAGCAATTCTTTGTTGTCATGGAGCACTGCCTGAAACACGGCCTCAAAGGTGATATACCTTGCTGCTTGGAACACACGTGTGTGTCACTGTCTTTGTTTTAATTGCATCTTATATCTAAAGGTGATTATACATTGGGCAATTTTTCGAGCAATGTTGGCGAGCAACTGCCAACCAGGTGAGACAAAGGGCAACTCATCTGGATCTGGGTGATGGTGAAAACTTGCCCGCTGCCGATCAAAGTTATTCAAATAGAAATTTATGGCTCAGTATCAATGAGACAGTGTCCGATCAGCATTTCCCAGCAACATTGCTCAAAAAGTTGCCGTAAGATGCCCAGCCTTCCCACACCCAGCAGGATTGTAGGTGAGCCTCTGTGACCTCCTGACTCACTCAGTCTCATTTGTGACTGGCTGCTGCTGTTTTGTCTTCACAGTTAGGAAGTCCTTCCTGGGATATAGCAAGTCTCTCTGGGGCCCCTTAGAGGTGGTGGAGCGGCTGTGTCCCGAGGCAGCTGAGATCGCCGCCAGTGTACGCGACCTGCCAGGACTCAAGTGTGTAGCTCCTGCATAGTTACCATGGTTACTGAGATTACTGGTCTGCTTAGTGCTTGTCCTGTGTGTGTGTGTATGTGTGCGGTTGGGTGGCTGGATTTGCAGAGATGCTAAGCCCACATGTAGCAGATGGGCGCACAGGGTCTGGAAACAGAAATACAGGCAGCTTATATCAGACATGCTGGCTGGTGGCAGTGCTTCATTCAGAAAGGGGAAGTGCCTCTAGATCAGTGCCCTCTCTCACTGCAGCTCCACAGGATCTTTCTGATAAAACTGCACCATGTAGAGAGGTACTTGGGCTTCAATATAATATCACGGATACCATTATCAAGTCTCAGACATGACTAATCATCAACAAGGAAGTGTCAGACATGACCAATGCAGCTGGCACCTTGATGTATAAGCTGAAACTCTTATCCTGAACGATAGTCACAGCGCTCTGCTCTCCTGCGCTCCTCTAATCAGCTGCTTGACTTGCACTACCATTCAAAAGTTTGGGGTCACTTAGAAATTTCCTTGCTTTTGAAAAAAGGCAAGTTTTTTGTCCATTAAAATAACAGATCAGAAATACTGTGTAGACATTTTTAATGTTGTAATTGACTATCATAGCTGGAAATGACTTATTTTAATGACCTCTGTACACCCATGTAGATATTCCCATTATCAGCAACAATTAGTCCTGTGTTCCAGTGGAATATTGTGTTTGCTAATGCAAGTTTATACATTTTAAAGGGTAATTGATCATTAGATAACTCTTTGGCAATTATGTTAGCACATATGAAAATAATTTTGCTGGTTAAAGAAGCAGTAAACCTGGCCTCCTTTGGACTAGTTGAGTAGCTGGAGCATCAGTGATTGTGGGTTTGATTACAAGTTTAAAATGGTAAAAACAAAGAACTCTCTTCTGAAACTTGTTCTGAAAAATGAAGGCTGTTCCATGTGAGAAATTGCCAGGAAACTGAAAATCTCGTACAATGGTGTGTACTACTGCCTTTACAGAGCAGTGAAAACTGGCTCTAACCACAATAGAAAGAGGAGAGGGAGGCCCTGGTGCACAACTGAGCGAGAGGATAAATATGAGTGTGTAGTTTTGAGAAGCAGACACCCCATAGGTCTTCAACTGGCAGCTTCATTAAATGGTACATGCAAAAGACCAGCATATGTCAACAGTGCAGAGGCAACTTCGTGGATGATGACCTTCTAGGCAGAATTGCAAAGAAAAAGCTGTATTTCAGAATGGTAGATAAAAAGAAAAGACTGAGATGGGCAAATTAACATACACTAGACAAAGGAAGAAGTGCTTTGGGCAGACAAATCTAAGTTTGAGATGTTCAGATTACAAAGAAGTTTCTGAGATGAAGACCAAATGAAAAGATTCTGGATAAGTGCTTGGCGACATCTGTCAAGCATGATTGAGACAATATGATGGTAAAGTGGGAGGTTTGTACAGGGTAATAGGGATCCATTTTGCAACACCATGCCATCTCCTGTGGATGGTGCTTAACTGGAGCCAGTTTCGTATTACGACAGGACAATGACCCAAACACAGCTCCAAAATATGGAAAAACTATTTACTTAAGAAGCAGTTAGGTGCTATTCTGTGTATAATGGAGTGACCAGCACAGTCACTGGATCTCAACTTTGGGTGCAGCTTGACCGAATGGTATGTAAGAAGGGCCAATCAAACTAATCCAACTTGTAGGAGATGCTTCAGGAAGCATACAGTGAAATCTCGCCAGATTACCTCAACGAATTGACATCTAGAATGCCCAAGGTCTAGAAGGCTGCATTTGCTGCAAATGGAGGACTCTTTCACGAAAGCAAAGTTTGAAGAACACAATTATTTTAATTTAAAAAAATATTTCTAACTTTGTCAGTGACTTTCCTATTTATTTAGCTGTATTTTCTATTCAAATTCATTTCACATATGTTTTCATGGAAAACAAGGAAATTTGTAAGTGACCCCAAATTTTTGAACAGTAGTGTAACTCACTGAGGAGTGTAGAGTGTACTGGGCTCTGTGACATAAAGGTTGTTTTTCAGCCTCACCAGGTCTGTTAAGCCAATCAGGGGTGCATTTCCCATCCAATCATGGAAGTTATAATTATCAATGCATTGTACTATGTTAGTCAAAACTAAATAACATCCAAAGTACGAGTGTTTCCCAAAACTGATGTACTTTATTAGCACCACATTAGTTCGAACCACTGTGGTTCGAACTACAATGGTTCCAGAGGTGATTGGTCTGACTCTCATGGCCCATTAATCTGCCCATGTTTTATTTGCTTTCCCCATGTTTTTTCCTATTTAATATTGTGTGTGTATATAAGCGCTGAGTGATAAATCGGTTCAGCATTGTCATCGCCATGTGTGTGTGTGTGTAATATTCATATTGCATCGGTTGGCACTGTTTTGTGACTTGACGCAACTCGCGACACCACCACAAACTTATTAGATACACTCTGTTGTTAGGTAAGATTTATTTAGCAATAGTTTATTTCGGGTAATTTCATCTCCTTTTTGGTTTTATAAATATCGCAGTATTACTCAATGTGATGTTGTGATGTCATAATCATGTACCAATATTTATCTATGTAATGAATTCTGCCATACAACACAAACCAGGTGGGTAAACAACTTCATCTCCAGCCATACTCATGAGCAGAGAAGTACATCAAAAGTACTCTTACAACTACATTTTCAAAGCCCTTGACGCTATAGATGTTTGTATAGCAAGATTATTTAATATTTTCACCTTACTAACATGGTGACTACCCTCCCTCGACTGTGTTTTCCACCATTGATGACATAGTCACCCGGAACTAAACTTGTAACTACAGTTTGAGAGCTGTAGTTCGAACTACACAACTTAACGCCAGTGTGTTTGCGCATTTTCATTCGAACTATGGTTTCGGGAAACACCTGCCTCGTACTTGCATAACTATGTCAGCAACTATATTTTGGGAAACGCACCCCAGGTTGAGTGATTTGCGTCTTGTGGGCAGGGTGTCTTTCATGGAAAGTCATGGGGGGAGTATGTCAATGTCCCCAGGACACCTCTGGGCCGCGCGCGTGCCTGGCTCCGCCTCGCCCTCATGCAGAAGAAGCTGGCTGACTACCTTCGCTGCCTCATCACCCGGAAGGACCTGCTGAGGTGCGTGTGCCCTGTTGCTCTTGCCACCTTGTAATCCCATTGGTTAGACACAGGCCAATCAGAAACACTGTTGTTGATAGACTTCTAAACAGCCCAGAGGTTCATGTCATGGAATGTTCCAGTGTGACTCTTCAAAGTTTTGGGAACCAACAGAGTGGCTAATGTCAACATGGAGACTCTGCTCTCCGGTTTTTGAGTTGAGAGTGTCAATGCAATGTCAGACGGCCTTCCTGTTAACATCCTGCTGGTCCATGCAGTGACTTCTATGAGAGCTCCGCTGTGATGCTGGAGGAGGAGGGCGCGGTTATCGTCGGCCTGCTGGTGGGACTCAATGTCATCGATGCCAATCTGTGTGTGAAGGGTGAGGACCTGGACTCACAGGTAAGTGGCTCCCTCTGTCACTCGCTCTCTAGAATTCTGAGCATCAGCTTCAATGGCTGGTTGTTCTTCAGGCCAGCTGACCCACAGAAGGATTGGGCCTTGGACGTGACAGTGCAGTCACCTGGAATTAATAGTTTAGTGTTAATTTACACCAAGCTAAAGAAAACTCTTGGTCTCTAGGAACCTAATGCTGCATTCCATTTGCCCTCGGAACTCGGATTCCGAGTCGGATTCCGAGTTTCGAAGCCGGAAGTGACGACATGCGTGCTCGGAGATCCGAGAAATATCTCGGACAACACAGAGGATCCCGAGTTCAGAATCCAAGATGGCTGCGCCCTTTATCAACAGAAGGGAAAGTTGTAGTTTTATCCTGTTTAAGCACTACTTCTCATTTGTGACTCATTAAATCGGTCGCACACACTACACTGTCCAACTTATCTGTGGACGTGTTGCTACGGAGTTTTATACGTGAAGCACGTAATGTGTTATCAAGTGATATTGCTAACAATGGCTGCCAATTAACCGGTCTTGAATTGGATTTCATGATTAGTCGGATTATTTGTCGGATTTAAGGTAATTCGGGCCAATTGTAAGTGAACGAAGATAAAGGCCATTTAAACTGAGGTACCTTAAATCCGACAAGTTGTCTGGCTAAGCAAAAAATCTTGCTTTTTCGTATGGGTCCATGGTATTGCTACTTCTGTGGCAAATGGAACGTATCCGACTCGGTTTTCCCGAGTTTTTAGCGGATGTGATGTAATATCGGAATCCGAAAATCGGATCCCGAGGCAAATGGAATGCAGCATTACTCTGTGTTCCAAATTATGCAAATGAAAATTTCATATGTTTTTCTATAAATAGTCAAAAAATGCATTATTCCAAATTATTATGCAAAATGCAGTAGGTCATAATAAACATGAAATTTGCATTTGCTGTATGAAGAGATCCTTTTACAGATATAAAACAAAAATACAGGTGAATTAATATAGGAGACCTCCTTTGATATGACTTTAACCACCATTGTCATCTGGTTTTCTTTCTTTGACTTCCCTGTTCTTGTATTATTCCGTCTTAATCTTAATGATGATACAACACACCCATGTATATTGTCGCGGGGTGACTGTTGTGAACGGTGCTATATAAAAATAAATTTAAATTGAACCACTCTTTCATTTTTTGAATTTATAGTTTCTGCTTGTATTTCATTTGAGGACATAAGTATTATATCCCAGAGCTGCTGCTTTGAAGTATGCTGATGTCCACCCTCGCAGATCTTCCTTTTAAGGATGCTGTACAGGTTCTCAACAGTATTGAGTTTAGGGGATGTTGGTGGCCATACCATGATATTGTCTTGCTCAATATTCATATCCACCAAAGAATCCATGATTTTTTTTGCATCATGTGATGGTGCATTGTCTTGCATAGAAAGAATTTTTTTCCTGAAATGCCCGGTCTTCTTTTTATTCTACAGCAGGAAATGGTCAGTAAGGTACTCCATATATTTTGTGGAAGAAAGGGATGTGCCATCTTATTTCCCAATATTCCAACCCAAATCATTCATCCGTCACCTCCTTGCTGACGTTGCAGCCAAGTTGGGATAGGGTGGCCATCTACACTGAACTTGATCTGTTTGTACTGTCCAGTGTTGCAAGGCATCTGTAAATAAAACTGTTCAGACCAGGGAAGGAAGAAATCCACATTTTTTCAGTTCCGATCTGATTCCGATATGCAACTGCCGATACCAATACAGATTTCGATACAAGAGCTCTTTTTACTTTAATTATATATATATATATATGTACACTCACCTAAAGGATTATTAGGAACACCTGTTCAATTTCTCATTAATGCAATTATCTAATCAACCAATCACATGGCAGTTGCTTCAATGCATTTA